AACAGATTAATTATATTATTAATTATATTATATATTTTTATTAATTATTAATAACAAGATTTACTTGTTTTCTATTATTAATAATGTTTTCTTCTTCAGATATCTTCAAGCGAGTATCTTCTTCCTACATATAAATAAAGAAACAATAAATAAATAATAATAACAATATTCTAAATAAAGAAAAAAACAATAAATATAAAAGAAGAAACTTACTCCTTTATTTATATCTTCTTGAGATATATCCATAATAATACACTTCACTTAATATTGTTGTTGACAATAACACGCAACAGGTGACAGCTAACCTTTCCTATCAGTCCCGTCATTATTACTTCGAGATGTATATACCAATGTCACCAACATTCCCTATCCGGATACTACAACGAATCTCATTGGTGAATCATTTTTCCTCTTAGGTTCACACAGCAGCCAATGAGAGACCGTATTGACGAAATAATACTCATTTTTCACTTTTTATTAATAGAATAAATAACGATAATAATACGCTTTAAACCTTCCTTGATTAATAAGAAACTTATGTTCCAAAGTTGATATAAAACTATGCAGTAGTTATCGAGAATTAAGGTCACGACCGATCCGGGCTCGATGAAACGCATACTTCCTCTCTTTTCGCCAACCTTCGGTTGGCAGCAGTCGGGAGAAAAATCTTGCGTACAAAGAACTCCAAGTTGAAAAACATTCTTTCTAAATTAATAAAATATGAAAAAAATAGCAGACACTTTATTTTACTTTCACAGATCGGTAGACTCAAAAGTCATCTCCTTTAGAGATCCTTTTTCTCTCAAACCTTTCTTCGTGAAACTATTACTTTTTTATTTTTTCTGAAAAGAATAAAGGGACAGGCAACGAGAAAACACAAAAAGACTTATATTTTTACTCAATAATGTTTAAGCGCTCGATCTTTGTCCGTTCCTTTTCCATTATTTATTTCAATTGTCCTTCGAAGACTACAGTTTGACATACCCAATATCACATTTATTTTTATTAAATTAGTTTTTTTTATTCATATTTTTTTGTGATTTATAACATTTAGAACAGTAATGCGTGTTTAATATGCAATTGTAAAATATGTTAATACGCGTGTTTCTAAATAATTGTAAAAATAAATTGTTACAAATGTCGTAACGACGCATACTTGTTTCGACCACGTGTGACGCCAAAAGGTATGTGTCATCGTGATACGACTGTCGAGAACATTGAGTCTTGAGTAATGACTACGGTCGCATCTCTATAGTTAATACGTCTTCCATGCATGCCAATGAAAGAGATTCGTAATTACATGCGTGCAATGTTCGTAACGAAATGAAAAGGTCTGCGTTTGTGCCCGCGAACGTGTTTAACGGTTAGAATGTTTTCATCTGTCTTCAAGATTCCTGGCATTAGTTGGGGGAATGATTGGAAAGTCGAGCGCGTGACGAAAGTTAATGACAGCTCGTCTACCTGTCACGCGAATTTGGAATTTTTAAGGCACAGAACTTTCGAAAGCGAAATGTCTGTCGAAAAACATCCGAAATAATGAATGAACATGATATTTAATTTTTCAAAAAAAATTCTTAAAATTTTTTTGTTATTAAAATATCCTAAACTTAATTAATACAACTTATCAGATTAGCTTAATGACATGAAACACGAAGAAGAGAGATTTTTACTTCCTATACAATATACAAATATAGCTCTAATACTTTAAATCCATGCTCCTCAAATAAGATTCATTCATTATCGCCTTTCTGTCATTTGACTGTATTCTGTCTTTTTACCGTATAATTTTGCCGCCGATTTATTTGGGACTGCGGATTTTCATCATCGCGTATAATTGATTCGCCTTATTTCACACGATACAACCGAGTGATAATCCATCTGTCAAATCAGTGGAAAAAAACTTGGCTATTTGTCTCCTTTCACCTTTTCCCTTCTCGCGGATTTCTTCGGCTTTCATAGGGATGTTTTTTTTCATGGATGTCAACCTCATGAAATATTCTCCCTTCTACTTGGTAATCTATCTACCTTAATATTTTCTTACTCGGTGAAATAATGCTAAAACTCGTATATAAACGCGTAAGAAAGATCACGCGAAAAACTTTCCATTTCTAATAAAAATTTGCTACATGTGACATAATGGATTTCACGTATCGTGATATATTAAGGTAGGGTGGTTTTTTTATGAATAAGTGGATACATTTGCGCAAGACAAATTCGAACAAGATCATCACAATATCTTCAATTTATAGCACAAACTTTCTACACCTAGTAATCTTTATATAATAATAAGCATCTTTATATAATTGTTGCAAAATATTTTTCTCGAATCATTCTTGACACGACACATGATGATTCTGCATTATTTTACGCACTTCCCGATTTCGTATATTTTGACTTGCACTTTCTTGCCTTTTAATTATGCAAAATATTCCTTTATTATGTCGCATTCTTTTCTCTCGTTTACGCGCACAATAACGACATTTTTACGATTAGCGCGATAAAAAAATTGGCGCAAAACATATATAGTCTCCAGATATGCGTTAAGGTTGAATTATATGCATGGTGTGTATAGACGTGGTCTTGTGTAGGAGCACATAAACGTCGTTACGGATATTATGTCCAATGAAAGGCAAGCAAAACCGCGATCTCCACACAGAGATGGAAAAACCGCGGATTGCAGGAAATTTTCTCACGGATGTAAAACATTCCCTCTCTCGCAATGACCGGCATACTTTTCCTCATTAACTCTCATCCTCACCTGGCGTCCATACCCCCAGACTTCTCGTGCCTTTTTTTCAACATATACATGTTTGCTATGAATGAACATTACAATTAATGAATATAATACTATATAAAGTAATAAATAAAAATCTTCGTATTATACGAAAATGCATAAAATGCAAGTAAAAAATTTTATATTCAATAATTACATGATAAAGAAGTTATTGCATCATATAAGATATTTCAGTCAAAGTTATTTAACAAGTTATTTATTGTATTTAATTATATTCTCGTGCTTGGATATTTTTTCTCTACTGAAATAGCATTTTCCAAAAAAAAACTTATTCATTTTATAAATATATATATAGGTATATATTTACTGTAATATAATATAAATTAACATATATGAATATATATTAATTATATATATATATATATATATATATATATATATTGTATACTCTGAGAAATAAAGTTGTTGACTTGACTAATCGTTCGACTAATTGTTATTTTGTTAATTGAACATATATATAAATATTTCAGTCAAAACACGTCATAATATTAGATTTAATATATTGTAATTAATTTAAATATTTCTATATGTTTAATTAGCAAATAATAATTAGTTGAACGATTTAATTAACATCTTTTTTTCTTAGTGTATTTATATAATATATTATATATTTATATACATATAAATATATAAATATATTTTTATTTTATATATATATATATATATATATATATATATAATAATCGCATAGCTAGAGACTGAAGATTTCTGTCTCAAGAAATAAGATATCGATATGAATTTGATTACGTGGAATAACCGACCCTACTGAAAGAAAAGAAATAACTTTGTGAAACAGTATGATTGTGTCGCGTTTTAGTCGTAATAGATAGGGGTTTTATTGATTCGTCGCACAAACTACAGTGTATCATAAGGTACGCAACGGATGTGAAACCTGTGTTCGTTGTAATTGGTTACGGTTTTATGTTCGATTGTCCAACTGCCGCGTCAGTTTTGCATTATTTATTACGAGACGTCGCGCAAAATGCACTTGTATATCGATAAAACAATAATGTTGATTCTCTGTTCCACACACATAATTATATACCTACCCTCTCTACGTTGACATTTTTTTTTTACTAAGAATCTCACTACAGCATTTACCTATATATATACATATACATTGATAAAAAAATCTAACTTAAGTCTTTTAAGAATCTTTCGTATAAAAAAACATTTTTTTTTATCAATAAATATTATATTTATACGTTCTATTATTATCATTACTATTCTTATTTATTCTTGTATATAATTTGTTTAAAAATATCTATACAAAAATCAAATTATATTCAATCATATCTTTACTTATAATTAGAGATTTACTCATCATGTTTTCAAGATTAGTTTTCAATGAAAAAATTAATTTTAAATTTAATAAGTTTTTATTATTTATATTACCCTCTACGTCATTTTTTTTACTAAGAATCTCATTACAGCATCTGACTTAAATCTTTGAAGAATCTTTCAATAAGAAAACAAATTTTTTTATTAAATATATTTATACATCCTATTATTATTGTTACTATCCTTATTTATTCATGTATAATTTGTTAAAAAATACATGAAAATCAAATTATTTATATTCAATCATATTTTGAATTATAATTAAAGGCCTACTTATCATTTTTCTTTATTTCTCAAGATTACTTTTCAATGAAGAAATTAATTAAAAATTTAATAATTTCGTATCACCCTCTACATGATTTTTACTAAGAATCTCACCACCGCATCCGACTTGAATCTTTCAATGAGAAAAAGCCATTTTTATCTGACTCGTGAATTTTCTCTCGAGCACACGTGACTTTATTCCCGAAATTGTTCGATCAAGATCAAGGTTATCGTCCCGAGTCATCTGCCGATCGATCATCGTCGAGACAAACTTCTTTCGATCAGGCCACCCGTTATGACGGGCGCCGGGTTGATGCCGCGCGACGAGGACGAGGGTGTTGCGCGCCGTCCGGGAGGGCGACCGGAACCGAAAGGGGCGAGAGAGGAAGGGAGAACACCGGCGATGGCGGTGGTGGTGGCGTCGGCGTCGAGTAACGAGAGAGTGGGGTGAGAGACGCTCGAGAGAGCTTCCCCTTCCACTCGCCGGAGCGTCTCGACGCCGCGTTTCGGTCTCCGCCGTCTCAGTTACCAACAGACCGCGCGATCGCTCGTATCGTCGACGAGCGAGAGGGGAGAGAGCGAACGAGAGAAAGAACGAATGAGAGTGAAAGAGAGAGAGAAAGGAGTACTCGAGGCGAGGAGCGAAAAAGAAGGATCAAAATAATACGAGGGAAAGAATATACGTATATCGAGGGAAGAGAGAGAGAGAAGAAGAGTGAACTATGTTACAAGTCGTCGTCGTCGTGCCGCTCGGTCTCGCCTGAACAAAGGAAGATTCTTCTCCCTCGGCTCGCCGCGTCGAGGGTCGTTTCCGATCGACGAACCGTCGGGATCCTTCCTCGGCCGTCTTCGGCCCGGTTCGTGCGCCTCGAGCGCACACGAAGCGGTCAGTCACGTAGCAGCGGCCGAGGCGTGAGGAACAAAGGACGGCGATCCGCAGGATCCGTGCGAGAACGAGAGGTGGAAGAAACAGCGCGATACAATATTGTTCATATATTTTGCGAGCATGGTGTAAACAATCACCTTCGCTCGCACATATACTTGTAATACCGATATATATATATATATTCCGAAAGAAAGAACGCGCCCAGAATTTTGCGACAGGAAGAGAGAGAGAGGAAGTTCGTCGAATTGTGTGCATTGTGTTTCGCTTTTTTTTTATATTTTTCTATCCTGACGATTTTTCTCTCCCAGTGTAAGGGAGGAAAAAGAAAACGGAAAGAGAAAGAAAGGAAAAGCAGTGACGTATCTGTCTGTCGGACATTCTCCGTATCAAAAGAACGCGATTTGTGAGTGAGTGAGATAAAGAAGGATCGAGACCCGAATCTCCTGGCGGTATATGTGTCCGTACCTGCTTTTACCTGTCTGCGTGACGAACCGGCGACCTAACCTAACGGCAACGACACATTCGGAGAAGTGCGCGCGAGAAGAATCGGAGGGAGTTCTCTTGTGCATAAAAGGGAGGAGAGAAAGAGAGAGAAAGGACCGAAAGTGAAAAAGGGTAAGCGACCTTCCTTCGGATTCTCTCCGCCGTCCGTTTAACGACGTCGTTGGTTTTTCGTTGTGACATGTGCCGCAGAGTGTACTACGACTGAAAAGAGAGGAACCTCCGGAAGCGCAATACGTTATTCGGCAGCACACGGATTATCCTCGTATTTACGGTGAGTCTTTTTTTCTCTTCGGTCATAACATTCCTAGAAAATTCTCTCCCGCGTAGACCCCAGGCTCGAAGGAATGATTGCGAGAGACCGACTTCCGGTTTTTCGAAAAACCTTTAAAACCTTTTCGAATTATCAAAGTGTATTTCAGAATCTACGCTCCACGGGGCGTTCCATTGTTATCGGAAACTACCCGATGGTTTTCTTTAGAAATCCTTGGATCCTACTTTTCTCAAAAGCAAATTTCCGCCTTTGTAACAAAGAAAAATGATCGCGAAGAATTTCTAGAGATTGCAACGTGAGAAGTTAAGTTTCAAAAGTTTTAAAAATTTAATTATACAGTAACTGTATGATTAATTTTTTTTATTTTTGTATCGAGGAAAAAATTGTGGATTGGTAAGATGAGGCGGATCTTTTTACATTATTAACAAAATGTATAGTGTGAAAATTAAATTGTATATGATTAATTTTTTTATCGAGAAAAAAATTATGAATTGATGAGGTAGATTTGTTAAATATTAATAAAATGTATAATTAATATATTTCATTCACATCTTTATTATTCTTTGTGTGTTTTTTTTCGGAATATCTGATCGAAACATTGATATTTCGATGTTAATCATGCACTCTCTCTACAATTAATGTACTTGGCTCTCATTAGTTCGATCTTTTTTCTCGATTATATATGAGAGAAATTTCTACACTCTTTTTTTAATCTGAATTTTGAACAATTTTTTTATCCAAAAAAATTTCATTCGAGCGAGACACAATCGCCGATAATTGATATTTGAAAATTGAAACAATCTGCGTAGGAAAATACGTTCTGTATAATTTTATAAACAACAATCTCTGTGTTGAAATAGTAGAATTGCAGTTATATGCGTCACTGTGCGTTTCGTCATCTAGCATTCGCTTAAATCAATCTCGCATCGCGTCAAGTTCTATTTCCTCCCACGCATTAACATCTCAGCGCGTTTGATTGAATCTCGCTTTCTCATTCGTCCGGGGCGACTTCTCAATGATGAAATTCCACGGCGGTCGCTTTTGATCGTTAAAGAATTCCCGGGGAACAATGACACGCTCGAGTCCCTTCTCCTTCTCGTTCCTCCTTACGACTATAATCACATTTTTCTACGTGGAGATCGTGCTCCGGTCTTCTCGTACCCGTATCTCTGAAAGGAATTCAACGAAAGCTTTCCAGAATAACGTTGCTCGTGTTTTGTGTTCGACGTGCGAGTTTGTTCGCGACGACGCTTGTATATCACGCTCCAGTTTATTGTTCTTTCGACAGTAAACAGGAACGTTTACGTTTACGCGATCGGGTGGCGTGAGATCGTCGTGAGGTTTCCTCGAGGAAACCTAACGTCGTGGTATAACATGATCGTAAACCGGCGATTCGGGAAATTGTATCCCTCGCGAGCGACTTTCGACACCAGCTGTTCCGAAAGCCATTTCGATGAATAATTTCTGCCTCACGCCAGGCATACAAATGGATTAAATAGTGAATATCGGTAATGATAAATCTCACATAATTATTTTACATCATAATTATTACTTTACTATTGACATATTTTGTAGTTTATTAGCGAAAAACAGCGATATCTTGTTGGCAGAAAACATTTCTCTTTTTAAAGCACACAAATTTGAAAAATTAATATAAAATAAAAAATTGATATGGATATATTGTATAAAATAAAATAAAAATCAAATAATATATATAATAAATAAAAATAAAAAATAATATAATAAATAGAAATAAAAAACAATATATATTAAAAATATATAAATATTGCCGGTTTCTATCGCACTCTTCGTGGACTGACAGAACATTAATTTCTGAATCGGACGACTATATACCCTAAATGTGCGATGAGGGTTCGGGGTCCTTTGCGAATTGCCGCATCGCGATTCAATAAAGTTAATCGCGTTTGTAAACGAACTGCAAGAGAATACTGTAGATAGGTTAATTAGACACCCGTTCGAAAGCTACGTATCTTTCGCGCTTCGTTTCTTCGTTAGCAATTGTTAATCATTCAAGAGCATAAACTATGCGTGTGTACATTTCAAAATCGTTACTTCCGGCAGTTTGTTCTGTTATCTACTGATGACGGAGAGAACGTAATATTACGCAAGATGCCGGTGAAGAAAGCAGTAAAGTCATTTTCCTTCACGTAATAATCCGTCAAATGTGTGTGCCTGTCTGTGTGCGTATAGAGGAGAGATAAAATAATAAAGAAATTTTATATTTGAAATTTAATGATTAAAATATATTTTTGAGAACATATATGGGAAAAAATAAATACAGTTATATGCATTTATTTTATTTATTTTTTTTAACAGAGTTATTTGCGCTTTCTATAAAAATAGAAGAAACTAGATATACGTGTGCGTTGTTACAAATTTTTTTCCAAATTTTCGTGCTCTGCTGCCGACAAGACAAAATAATAAAAACGTACGTCGTGTACCCAGACGGAAAGGGGAAGGGGAGGGAACCATTGATTTCTCGTTTCCATCGATGGACGTTTTTCATCGGTGGAAAAAGCAAGAGGACAATGCACGGTATGCCGGAAAGAGAAAGAGAGCGAGACGTATGGAGGAACATTAATTTTCTATAGGATAAGCGAGTAATTAAAATTCTGTCTCACGCGTCGGCATCGGAAATCAAATCGGTCCACCGTTTAAAAGTTGTGTGATATTCTGCGTTTTCATTTTTTAGTCCCTACTGGTTTCCGGTTCGACAGCGCGACGAAACTTCGACATCTAAAATCGACAGACGAATGCATTCCGCGCATAATGATTTAGTAGATATGACAATTAAAATTAAATTATTTTAATATATATTGCAAGTTTCTCAGTTTAGCTTTAATTATTAAAATCCCTTTTTTTTTTAAATTGCATTTTTTCTAGTAAATATGTTTTCTGTTTTTGAAGTCTGGCTTGTATAATCAAGTTTCTCAGATGAAAATTCATTATTGGCAATATTGAAAGTTTGGAAATTTCGAAGTTTTCAAGTGCGAAAGTTATTTAATTCTTAGCATATTATACGCGATTATCGCTTTATCGATAATATAATCTACAAAATAATGTACAAAAATTTAATGATTATATTATATATAAAATTATTAACTTTTTCTTTATAGAGTATTAGGTTTATTTTGTTAGTAATAATAACATACTAAATTTATTATTTGTTACACAATAATCAATATCCTTTTTTAAGTAAAATAGTCAAAAATCCATTTTTCAGTTAGGAATCGAGTTTTATTATCATTGATACTTTCAACAAAAACAAAGAATTTCATATGAAATCCTCGAGCGCTTGCGTGAACGAAAAAAATTGTCAATTTAGTCGAATATAAAAAATCCAGAAATGAAATTTCGAAAACATACAGCAATTTATCTACGCTATTATACTCTACGTCGATTAACATGCTATAAAATAAAAGTAATTTTGTGCCATTGTGTAGAGTTGGTGACGCGTCAAATAGAAAGTTTTTATCGTAAAATTTTATTTTCTCTGGACGCGTGGATTAACGATTTTCCATATATACAAAAAAATGGAAACTAACGGCCTTATAAATGAAAACAAAAGATAGCTAACGAAATTCTTGCAATCACGATTTGTTAAACTCATTGACATCAGAATTCTCTGCGTGCCAACAAGATGATTCAAACAATTCATGCTTAGCTCTTATCTGAAGTCATTTCGTGATCATTATATAAATATAGGACACTATTTCTAACCAATTATGACATCATCTTTTAAATATTTGAAATATGTAATTTTTCTTTTCTTTGTATGACTTTAAATTCTGATCCACAATAAATGTCATCGTATCAGTTGTATTCGACACTATCTTAATATCAATATTTTGATTAAATTATTATTTGGACAAAATAGCTTATTTTCCTTTATATTTAAAATATCTTTGTTGTTTTTAAGATGCAGAGAAACACTTTTAAGGGCAAAATTATTTGTTACAAGTGACATGAGACATGACGATGATAAATATTTTTATATTTAAATATTTTTGCGTAGAAAATATGAAAGTCATTTTCTATTAGATTCAAGTGAGATAAATTTATTATTTTGTGCATTACACGCATTTTTGTATATTCTGAGTATATTACACTTTCACTGTTATTGGTTAAATGCATGGCATAATACTCGTATCATGTAACAGATGTAAACTGCATTTAAATAACATCAGTAACAAAATTAAATTTTAAGCGAATTTCAAATTGTACAAATAATTTGTTTATATATTTGCACATTTACATACAATATATTTTCACGTGTGTTTTCTTTATAAAATTGTATTTACGACGATTCAAAAAATGAGAAGCGCTAAGTGTTAACGCAACCGTCATTTAATGTCCGATATCATTATTCTAATATTATATTACAAATTCCTACAACAAAACAAAAGTTCTCGAATTTAAAATTCCGTATTTGTTTATCCTTGTTGGGGAAGTCTTTTTTTGTGTGCTGAACCTGACTCTCGAACGCGATCGTGTTTAGGTCGCAGCGGGTTTACGCAGGCGTTAATATTTGCACCGCGATAAAGCCGACGCATAAATACCCACGTCCTCCCCGGTATTAAAGTGTCATTGCGATTAATGCGTCATCGCTTGGGTGTACGAGCGAAACCGCGCGTAATCGCTTTCCGTTACATTAAAGTTTCAGCGAGGCATCGAACGAGGAAATTCCACCCCGACATGGAAACGTCGCCATAGCGGAAAATGTTAGAATCGAAGCATTGCAGTTTTTTTTTGTTTCCATAAAATCCGTATTGGGTATTCGAAAAAGAAAGAACGGTATCGAGGAAGGAGGATCTCGCAACGAAAATACACGCAAATTGCACGCGAGTATTCGAGATTGCGTTCCGAAACTCCGAAGCGATTAAATAAACAAGACGTTACGAAAGCAATGAAAACGAGCTTAGAGAGAATTACTTAAAGTTCTGTTTGCGTTACACTACGGACATAACGCTTCTTACATG